CTCACCGTGTTGTTATCAAGTTTGTGGGTGAGGCGGTGTACCGTGCTTTCTTACGGAGGTGCGAGGGACGTACTTTGCAGTTACAGGACGGCACCGGGTCTGTGATCATTTCAGACCGTAGTGGTACTGTGACGTATGTCAGTGTTCACGGCGCCCTCATGGAGTTTCCTGAGACTCTCCTCCGGCGGTTCTTCCAGAGGTACGGCTCCGTCGTCGGTGTGTGGATGAACTCCCTGTCGTCTGGCACGTATTCGGGTGTGAAGACCAACATACGGACCCTCGGGATGCGACTGAGGTCGGACATACCGTGCTCTGTCCGGCTGTTGGGGTACTACGTGCGTGTGTTTTATGCCCGGCAACCCCGTACTTGCTTCCGGTGTGGCTTGTTGGGGCATCAGGCTGCCGGGTGTACTGCTGATCCGGTCGCTCCTGTGAACTTGTTCCGTGAGGAGGATTTCCCGCCGCTCCCTCTGGAGGAGGACTCCGGGGGTGAGGAGGTGAGCGTCCCGTTCGCTGCTGAAGCTTCCCCGGCGGCGCCTGCCGTTCCTCCTGTTGTTGCCGTCCCTCCTCCGGTTCTTGAGGTACCGTCGGTTGGTCTGCCTGATCCTGTCGCTGTCCCAGCTACTCCCGTGGGCCTTCCTGGTCCTCCCTGTGTGACGTCGCTGTCTTCTCCCTCGTCTTCTGATGCTGCGCCTGGCCCTGTGTCCGTGACTCGGGTCCCGGATGTGCTTGGTGCTGGGGTGGCTGCGGAGCCTCCTGCTGTGTGTGGCCCGGTTCCCCCTGTGGTTGAGGCTGCTGCTGTCCTGGCGTCGGTTCCTTCGGCTCGTGGTACCCGTGTTTCTGGGTCACTTACCGGCTCTGACGATATCCGGCAGGTGCCCAAACGTTCCCGGCGTTCGTCTTCTTCCTGGGCCGACGCTGGTGACTTCAGTGACTGTGGGGCTTCGGATGTTGACAGTGTGGATACGAATGCGTCGATGTCTCCGCGGTTCGTGGTGGCGGAGGTCCATGTGCCTGCCGGTGCTGGTGCCTGTGTCTCGGACGTGCCTTCGGTTCTTTCTCCGCCGGGGGACTCTCCACAGTGGGGGGTGGTGGCTTCCGCTGCCAGGGATGGTGTGGACTCTGGTGCTGGGCGTGGCCTGGTGGTGACGTTACGGAAGGATGCGCGCCGTCCGGTTCCCTGCTGTCGTCTGGTGGTGTGCCCGGGGCCGCGAGTACCCCTGTGGTGCGGGTGCGCGTTGGGGCCCTGGGGGACGTGTTGCCGGCGTCTGTGATGCCACCGGGATCACTGGTCGAAGATTGCCGAGTTACTGCTGTCTGACGGACCGGAGTGCTTTCGTGGGGGCAAGTTCCCTTCCTGTGGGGGCGAGTGGCGACTTCTCGCCTCATGAGTTCTACCATCTGGGTCCCCAATTTGCGGGCGTTTGTTGCCCCGGTTCCGGATGTTATGGCGTCCCCGGTGGATGGACGAGACCCTTGGCAATGGGTGCTCTGGGAGGTGTTCAATGTAAGATTCCCGCGGGCCAAGTTCCCGGACAAGTATGTGCTCTGATTTCTTGTGTATTTGCTATGACATGCTGTGCTGTTTGTTTGCCCTGTTCTATTATGTGCTTCTGCCTCTCCCTTTGTGCGTAGCTTTGCCGTGTGGCATATTAGTTTCTAGTGCTTGGCGTCACTCGTTTCGCGTTTTGGCTTAGCATTTCGCCTTTCCTGGCTTTGCGATTCACCCTTCACGGGTACGCCAGGGCGCATCCGATCCCACGATCGTCGTCACCCCTAACTCAACAACAACACAGCTCATTTCAAACACAATGTCACACAATATAATTCACTAAAAAATGAAATAAATCGAAATCTATGAAAACAAAACTTATCAAAGCAATCGGAAACATTGAAATGGAATTCGTGACATATTTAGTATAGCGTGCATGATGCTATTATGTGCAACAGATGGCGTTGTTTTTTAAAACGCTTGTGTTTACCTGTCACAGGGGGTGGCATCAATATAGTAGGTATATAAAAGGACGCGCCTATTTGAATGAAACTTTGTGTCAAAATTTCAAAGCAATTGGTATATATATATATATATATATATATATATATGTCGTACCTAGTAGCCAGAATGCACTTCTCAGCCTACTATGCAAGGCCCGATTTGCCTAATAAGCCAAGTTTTCCTGAATTAATATATTTTCTCTAATTTTTTTCTTATGAAATGATAGAGCTACCCATTTCATTATGTATGAGGTCAATTTTTTTTAATTGGAGTTAAAATTAACGTAGATATATGACCGAACCTAACCAACCCTACCTAACCTAACCTAACCTATCTTTATAGGATAGGTTAGGTTAGGTAGCCAAAAAAGTTAGGTTAGGTAGTCGAAAAAGAATTAATTCATGAAAACTTGGCTTATTAGGCAAATCGGGCCTTGCATAGTAGGCTGAGAAGTGCATTCTGGCTACTAGGTATGACATATATATATATATATATATATATATA